TCTCTCAAAGCCTCTAATCATCAGGGTGAAGTCTCTGAAAGTTGCAGGAATGCCACTGCATTTAGTTCTGAGCAACTCTTTTCAACAAGGTGGCAAAAGCGTTCAGATTAGCTGCCATTTTTCACATCTCTCCCCGTAACATCGCCTTAGCTTCTTTCCTTTACGATTTCCCTCAAGAAAAAAAATGTGAAAAAAGCGTCAATATGTTTTTCTGAACTTTTGCTACCAAATTTATGGCGCACCACTGTGCTAATATTATTTTGTTAAAAAAAGTGTAATGCGATGCCGTCAGCTGTTCAAAGAAGATGTCTGCTGAAGGCGCACAAGTGGTCGCATGCCAGTGATTTGACACAGCGGCTCTCTAGAAATTTCCAGGCGCGTTTGATTGCTCTCGTAAGAAAAGTGCAGGACGTAACGTGGTATTCAACACCTGGATGCTTTACGATGTTTGAACACCACAAGACCGTCTCGCGACCGGATGGCGTTAGTTCTCAAAGTTGATGCGTCATTCATTGCCGCGCCAGACGTGTACAGTGCAGTCCAGTTCTCCTGAACAGCTCTGGTAAAAAATGAGCCAACTAATTCACAATGGGGCTGGGGCGAAGGGCGCGGGGGCACGTGTGTTACCACGCACGGTTTTGTGGCTAAGCTTGATTTTACAGTCATGTTCCCCGCAGACGATAGGGCGTGTGACGCGGCGTGGATGAAAGAGCAGCCAGGGCGGCCTCTTTCCACCAATGATGCCATCACTAAACCGCTACAATTGGTGGGAAATCTGCGCTCCATGCCACGCCCCCCCCTCACACGCTCTATCGTTTACAGGGACCACGCGTGTATTGTAGAGAAGAACGCACAGCACAGGGTGCGACCAGGAATTCCATGTAGCGAGACGTGCAGAATCTAGCTAGTATTGCAGTTGCTAGTCGTGTAAATACAATGGCCTTCGTTTAGAATCATTTATGTCCTGGTGCGAATGGCGCGCAAGTGGTATCACTTACAACACTTCAACGCAGCTCTCGCCCCATCGCAGTATGGATGTGTTGTTCTGTAGCCCTCCGCACCTTCACCTTTGCGACTTTAGTTCAGCGGTAGATCGGGAGCGGTGATAATGGGAAGGCTACATCCGGTTGGCTGAACCTTTGAAAATTTAGACTTTAACAGCAAAATTTGCAGTGCCATTCTATAACATGATGCATGTAAGCATGATCTTCAAGGGCAAACCAAAAAAATGGTGGCACATCTTATTATGAAGGTTTTCAAATTACTATGAAAAAACTTCGTTTCCAAGTAATTGTATGGTTGCAATTTCGCTAATAATTTTGTTACGACTCAGCACAGAAGGGGGCACCGAAAAGGCAGTCAGCTAAGCTTGTACGCGCCACTTTGTGGAAACCTGTCATTTCTCAGGTTAAAAGTGGCGCACACACATTTCGCAGCTTCACAGGACTTTGCAGGTCTCGCCGAGGTGAGACTTGCTGTTGAACATGAACTGATGAAAGAAACTAATGCATTTGCAAAATGCCCCACCAAGCCATACATCTCCATTTTATTTTGATCAATGATCGTGCGATCATTGCAGTGCAATCGCCGTGAATCTATAGAATTTGTGCACATTCAGACTCAATTCAGCTGGTCCCGAGACGTTCCTTAGGGTAGTTTTGAGGGAAAACGAAAGATTTTAACGAATTTGTAACTATCTAGTTAACTCCCAAGCCAAGCTTTCCCTCGAGGTGACCGTCTTCCTCTTGTCCTCTTTGCAAATCCGAGAATTATAACCGGCCATGTTTTCGGTGACGATTTTAAGGTGAGGAAACTGAAGTCAAGAGGTGTTTACCCGTCGGATTATTAATTTATCCTTCAAACGACATTTTCGTCTTTGTTCTCATTTGTAAGCATTTTTAAGCATTCCCTCTTCTCTGCTCGACCTTGAAAATGAGACCTGAGTCTACAGTACCACAGGTGTTAGAGGCATTCTTCAGAACGATGAAGTGATTACGGTAGAAATTGATCACGGTAGGAATGAAACGAGTTTGCACTGATTGGAAGCAAAAATGTTCAGACATCAAAATCTTAGATCACAGGTTCATGCCACAACAGAAACGTTAAACATGTATGTTTCTCATGTTCCTCTCTAATTTCTATTAACAAAGTGGTACTGTTTCCTAATTTGAAAATTGGGCTAGTAGATTAAACCATTGGAAGAGAAAAATTGATACCGATACTCTCATGTCACGATCTCTCTTGCCAGGACTGTACCTTAGAGACTGTCAGGACAAAGGACTTCTGTTTCCATGTCGTAGCCTTCTAATTTCTTTTCCTTCCGAGAAGTACGAAGAAATACTCGAACCAAGGAGGACAACTACAACCGAAAAAGCAGACTTTAAAGGGGCATGCCGCGATTGCAGTCTTACTGCACTTTTGGACACTTGGCTAACCGTAGCGTGGAGCCTTTAAACGCCAGGAAGTGGTTTGAAATGTCAGATAATACCTGGTAGTGATTAGGGAAGTAGGCTGGAGTTCTTACCTAGATTGATAGACACTCCATCTACACCATACCTTACGTTCCTTATTATTTTAAGGTGTGTCACACTGGCTTGGATATTCTGGCTAATCAGTATCTTTCCGCCTGAAACGGTTCGGCAGTTCTCGCCAGAAAGGCAAGCTAGCTGAAACCAATACGATCTCCCATTAACTGAGAGAATCGCTTTATCCGCGGTGTTTTCTGGGGTAATATGGTACGCTTAGATCTTATAGTTGTAGTTCGCTTGGGACAAAAAGGGTTGGTTAGCCGGGATAGGTATGTGGCGCGGTCAGGCGCGAATATTTCTATGAAAGTAAGTTAAACGCTCTACCTTCACATTTATCAGTGCAGCATTGGCGTGTAAGGCAAACTGTCCAGAGTTACAGCTTTTATGATCCAATTTCAAAAAAAAAATATTTGCAAGACACAAAACGGGGAATCGCTATTTGATGATCTGCGCTGTCAATCCTTGGGCATTCATTGGAGACACGGAAGACGTCTGGTCGGAACTGGTCCGTACGGTCAAACAAAAAGCCGTTCTGACGACATGGTGGAATCTTGTACAAGCGTTTTGGAAAAAATTCGGTCCCGACCCGATCAAAGATGATAAGGTATGGTTCAATTCGGAATTGTTTTATTACGATAACTGCTGTTTAACGCCACAGTACGCGTCAGTTCGGAATTCCTTAAGAGCTTTCATAGAACACGACGATCAGCGAAGATTAGGTACGTATTGATCTTGCACTGCCAAAATGTCGGAATGTCGCGAACTATGAACCGTTTCACCTGCTTTCACGTCAATCAATATACTTGATTTTTACAAGTTGACGGAGCCATGAAAACAATTGGTGCACAAGAGGTCGACAGAAGGGCTACATACTGGTGTCTGTGTGTGATTTCAGCGTCATCTGGCGTTCACGTGCTCACGCGTTCCAACATTCTTCTGCATAACTTCGAGTTCGCTTTTGAAATATTACCAGTTACAGAATGTTTTTTTTCTCAGTCCCCTCGCTCCCCTTTCCCTTCTTCGGCGGAAGAGGAGAGGAAACAGAGAGGGTGAAGATATAAGAGAAAGGACTAAGAACTGCGGGACCCTTTGGAAGCAGAACCTCTGCCTTAAATGTGCAGGCGGGCAATTTTGTTGGTTGCTCGAAAATAGAGGTCAGGAGCTATATAGTGGGGGAAAATGACGGAGGCGAAGGGCAAGATAAATTCCCTAGGCATGCGAAATGAACACCTCAATCAGAGAAGAATTCAGCGCCATGAAAGAAGTCGTCTATCAGAGAGGTGAGAAACTACCAAGGGCCACAGCCCTCCGTCACCTGCTGTTCAGCCGCGAATGGGATAAGAGATTGAGGACCGGACTACTTGCACAAGTAAGGACGCTTGCACACTGCCGAATTGCTCGAGCAAAAGGACTGTCTTCACATCAAAACCGTCCTCTCATGTATTTTTACGTATCAGTCTTTGGCCGCTACGATCTTCACATTTCAACTCTTCGTACATGACAAGTGGATTCGTCACACCTAAGCCACTCTCTATCCTTGCGAAAGCCCACTCTCCAGGGCAGCCTGATGCCTTTGTTCGTTGACAACCTTCGCAGGAGGTACCTCTGGCTCGTTGTAGTTGTTGGGCGTTGTGCTTCGGTGAACTCTCCTATAAAAAGGTCCTCAAATATAGGTTGAACGCGAAGAATGGCTGTAGTCACGCTTCTACAGCCGCAGTTTTTCAGTTTCCTCAGGTGATATAAAATTTGTAACGCTCCCGAAGAAAAATGGTCAAAGAGTTAGCAGGACAGACTGACCCCTCCCAAGAACGGCAACCTCCAACAGATAAGAAGGAGAGCAACCAGAGAGAACACCATCTAAAACTGAAAAGTTAACTGCTTAGCAATAAAATATGGCAGCAAATTTTAATAATTCAGCGAAAAATTGGTGGATATGGAGAAAATCGCTGAAAGCACGTCAGTGGATCGTTTGGAAAACGCCTTTTCCACAGCTGAACAAAAATTTCACGTTGCTCGACTGCTACAAGTGAAAGGTTAGTTTATGCAAGACTTTACCGAATGCAAATTTCAGTTCATTTGGATGCTTTTCAGACTTTTTTGAGTGCAGTCCTGATTTGATACCGTCCGTTCTCTTGTTTATCTTCAGTCCTCCTTCTTCATTTCATTTCCTTATTCGCTAATTGACTCTTGACTCCACCCATTCGGTCATCGCGGAACCAAATCTACATTCAGTAGTTGAGCTAACAAACATTCTTAACGGTTTTGGGGTCATTCGGAAGGTTTCAGGTCTTATTTTCTCACAGAAAACCTTTTAACGGGGAACAGTCAGCACCTGCAAACTTCTATCCTAAAGGGTATGTAAATAGGAAGCGGAGCTCCGGGCAACTTCATCCTTCCCGTTTATACTGTGGGTTGTCTCATAGTGCACGACACAAAGAGCAGTGTACAGTTTTCAGCGATAGTCTCTGTATTGAAAGTACTAACTTCACGCCATTTCACTCTGACTTTCCCTTATTTTTTTCTGTTTCCACGAAGAGTCTACCCTCCCTTCCAACTGGCCGTCGTACAACCACTATACACTCCCACTGTAATCCTATGCTGACAGCGTATCCTTTTTCTCCGTCCTGTCGTTTCGTAAAACATAAAAAATTCATCTGAATCCATCCAACGCATCTATTTGCCTTCCTCACCGTCATCCAGCTGCTGTCCTTCATTGTTTGCTTAACTTTGGCTAGTGTTTATTCTATGTTTGAAAGGAGATGGCCAGCGCTGAGGTGTTCGGTCGTCATTCGCGCTAAGGAAGCCTATTTTGTCAACGAACCGTTCAAACGGCGTTTGCGCATTGTCACTTTGTGGAGTGGTTTTTCCAGCAAGGGACTGTATTGCTTTCTGGATCTGATCTCGGTTTCAATTTTGAATTTTGATTAATAAGTGGTTAACAACAGCAGTAGGCGAAGGCAAACGGCGTCACGAAGCGCGCGGGTAACTATCGAATCGTCCTCCATTCAGTCATTCAGGATTTCCATGTGTCCAAGCTCTGCTGTTTGGTACCGCGTCAGCACCTTTCAGGATCAAGACACATGCACATCGGCCGGCGTTCGGATGTCATGGCGTAGATAAGATTCGCTTTGGAATGCCACTACGATTCTGATTAGAAGTCGAGTGCATGGCACATTTCGAAAAGAGATTGGTTTTCTTTGCTGTGAAACCTGGCTTTCCGAAAGAGAAACATCTGCTTGCTCATTCCGCTACATCTTTGCCTTTGAAACCTTTGACGTAGTATGATTATGAGGAACTGCCTTCCTCAAAATTAAACCGTACGAGCTTTTCATAGCTACCTGACCGACGTTAACTTACGGAGATCAGTTGATGCTCTGGTAGTTCAGAAAACACCATTCCTTGCAAGTAGAAGGTTTTGTTTGCCTACGCGGAATCTAATCTACGGATGATGCCAATTATGACACCGCCTGTCACTCATTTGCTCCATTACATAGGTATCTCAAGATACTCTTCTCAATATAAGAAGTTGTATTCACTTTGCAGTTTGCAATGCGAATGCTATCACAAAAATGTTGAGCTATGGACTGACGGCCTGCTCAGGCTGTGGACTCAAACTCGTACAAGTCCTTTCTCGGACATGTACCACACTCCTTATCATGAGACGGAGTAGGCCGTGCACTTGAAATGGCCTTAGGACAGAGTTTTTCGTGTATGGTTTTTAATTGAGAAACTGTCACAATGTTAAAGCACTGCACACGTTCTAACTTGGTGGGCGGTTAGGCGTAATCGATGGATATCGGCATGAAGAACCGCCGATGCCGAAGAGCTTTACAGTTTCTTTGAAGCTGTGGTTTGTTTGTTGATAAACTGCCTGTTGTGTACGCAACGTGCGAAAGTTATTCCACAAGAATGCTGGATTGTGGGCAAAGTCGTGATCAGCGGGATCGAACCCGACCTCACGCTTTTTCGCGCTGGTGCGCTATGAGTTATGCCACAGGGCATGAAACCGCGAGCCAATCTTGTCTTTTTCGGTGCGACACTGATTCAATGCCCAAATGAGTATATCTCAGGGGAAACGCTTCAAGCACACCAGTTTAACTTGAAGTACGCAGGCCATGCCTACCTCGTCTCTGGGATTCTGAGTGTATCTAATTGTGGATTTTGTCAATTCTGATTCATCTTTTGGAGGGCTAGAAAGCATGGGGCATGTTGGCTGGTTTCAATCCAGAATGGAGGAAAGTAATTGATATGTTATCAGTAAAAACAGGCACACTTGAAGCGAATGTCACAAACCTATTCAACTCATCGGTGGACTCGCTAGAGGGCCTATAATATACGTATGACGTGTTAGCTAGATAACACTTGTCAATTTTTTAGCTTCGGTAAGCTGCGCACAGTTGCTTGCGGTCATACAACAGGTCATATCATAGCGGGTAGTTCAGCGTCAGGTATTTTCTATAGTGTACGTGGACGTGCGCGGTTGAAAGAACCGGCGGTAGAAACCGCAGGGCCCATTTCACGACCTCGTTACACTTCCATGGATTGCGGCGTATCAGTGTCTATGAACATATGATAGCCCACTGCATTTTATATAAACCAAACGAATGAGAGTATCAGTTTTGTTATCTTAGTTGAAGATGACACTTTTCAGCCATGCCTTCTGAGAAGAGGGGTCTTTTGAATTGTAGGACATAAGTTTGCGCCCTCTCGAGAAACTTCTTCGGTGACCGGGGAAATACTTCACACACCTAGTAAGGCTGACTTGCCCCAAAACATTGCCCTATGCCTTGGATACCTTCCACTTATTGCATCACTACTCCAGCGCAAACGACTTGTTGGTCTTCGCTTATAACAGAAGAACCCTGTTGCTCGTTGAGCTACTCTTTAGGATTACGCCAGAAGCGGATCTTATGGCTACCCCATAAACCGTGCCCGTGTCATAAATCACCTCTTACCTATGCTTATTTTACTGAATTCTGCTTTCCACGCAATATTTTACGAAAAAAAAATTACTCGTAAAGCTCGAGTGAATGAAAGTGCAAAACTGTTGAGCTACCCCATTGCCCTCTTACCACCCTGCTATTCTACGGGATGGAGATTGGGCCGTTTTGTCACAAACGAAACGTGCAATCCAGCGACGGAGGACGAAATGCCGCTTCTTTTTGAACACCCACTCGAATTCTCTAAGGTTTTTCCCCAACAATTAACCGGGAAAATTCCTCAACAACTCTGCCTACATATTGTCTTTGTACCCAGAAAGCCTCCCTTTTGAAGTGTTTCTTCGAGTTCTGGGACCTTCCTTGCTGAAGGCCCTTCTAGCCAAAGTTCGAAGGGGAATGACTCAGCTATTTCAGTAGGGCGCAGTTGGGCGACGGGGGGGGGGGCATTTTGCACTTTCGTTGCTTCACTAGTTCCGGTTTACAAGTCTCACTCTGGTGAAACCTGTGAACTCTTGTGAAGCTGGAGCAAGCTCGTCAAGCCATCATGGTAAAACCTGTTAACTCGAGAAGAGGCTGTCTAGATGGGTCGACACGTCGATGGGAAGTATCAAAAGTGCAAAATGCCCCCCCCCCACCCTCGTCGTCAAACTGCGCTTTTCAGTGTTTTCCCTTGGCACTGTTGAGTCATCGCGACCTCTTTCTTCACCCGACAGAAAAAGGAGCCGGGCGCGAGCTCGTTCCTCAGGACGCCCTCCTTTTCGTGACGCACGCTGTCGTACCGACTATTTTCTAGTTGTGTCGCGCCCGTCATCCAATTCCAGCACGTTTCTCGACGATCTGTCAGCCATCGTCGTCCGTTACAATCGCGCCACCCACTGCGCAATACCTCGCTCTCGTCTTTGGGTGTTGCACGCTTTCCATTCATTCCACCGACCGCAATCAATTTCTCGAACGAGAGATCCTTTTCCTTTCATTTTTGCCCTTTCGATTGATCTTTCAAGAATTGCTCTTTTTAGCTTCTACGGCAAATTTCGGCCTTTAGTCGTTAATTCAAAGCTTAGAAGCTCCTAATTAATGAGCATTCAGGATTTATTGCCTATTTTACCAGGACTTCTGGCGCAGTTCGGGATGGTGGGGGCATTTCACTGGTTCTTATGAATCACTGCTGCCGCCTCCTGTGGAAACTTTTAAAGTTTTGTGAAGCTATGCAATTGCACTGATTAGAAAGGGGGCTGTCCTTGTACAGACTAGATAGCATCCAGGTGCCACTACGATCTAAAAAAAGAGTCGAGGACAAAAACGATTTATTTTGTGGTATGACTAAGGATAAAACGATTTATTTTGTGGTAT